GCATTTTTAATATTTGGAAATATAAAAGGTAGATGCACTGTTAATCATAGGGTTGATCTATAAACTACAGTGAATTGATTTTGAACTCAATTTTAATTTACTTCGCATTTGGAGTTAAATTTGGTTGAAAATAACTCTATTTGGCCATGCAGCGTGCATGCCATGGCTGTGGGTGCTGTAAAAGTGTGTTTGCCTATAAAAGTACAAAAAAGGCTTTATATTTATAGTACATACTATTTCATCGACACTCTTTTCCAATGTAGAAGTAACAGGGTTGTAGAACTTTTCTTTAATATTGCCTGTGTTCTTGTGCCAAACCATGTCCATTGCCCTGCGCAGATAATTGGTGTTGGAATGTCCGCACTTCGTTACATTTCCCCAGAATCCGTCAGGATTTCGCCATCCTTCATGTAATTCTCCTTCGCATGCCTTCATAGCAGAAATTATCTGCTCCAACGTGTCCTTTAAGTTGTGAGAGCACTTTGTTTTCGTGAAAACCTGTAAATCCCCCAAAAATTCATTATACGCATACCTATACGCATACGAAAACATGTAGTTAAAATAATTTTGTTTTATTATACATACCATGATGCTGAATTATAGAATTCAAAACTTGATGTGGATAAAAAAAAGTCAGCAGTACTCAAAGGGATTTAAATAGTTATAGTATACACAAATTAATATATCGTACATATGTACAGGGAAACAGATTTACCTGTCATTCTAGTCCTTATCTCTATTTCAGTCATTTACAGCACCAATCCCTAAAGTCATTTACAGATAATACGGAACATGTGTTTTCGTGTTGAGGGTTGTGGGTATACGTTTTCATTTAAGTAATAGAGAATGGATCTAAAATTTATAACAAACATGAATATTGTTATTTCAAATTCAAAACCACTACTATATTAACAGACTTTTAAAGTAACTGACGTTTGCCGGTGGCTAATGCCCAAATTCCTTACCATCATCAGAAATGTCAATTCGATGACGTATGTTATTCATGCAACGAAATGCTTATGGGTAGGTATAACCGATGCAATATGACAGGAATAGCGTGCAGTCTGGGCACGACTTATGTATCTGATATATGGCGCGACAAGCAGACCAAAAAATCATTAGCTAGTCATAACCAATTAGAGAACTGTACTCTGCTTGCATGATGGAAAACGAAAACCAACAGGGAGGTAGGCCTATGAGCAATGAGAACAATGAAAATGGTAAGTGCTATATATTTCTCAAATCTAGTTATTTAACTAGATAAATATATATATATATATATATATATATATATATATATATATATATATATATATATCATATTGTTCACATGCATTTTTGTGAACTTAAACGATTTCGTGTTTCAGTTTCACAGGTGAGGAATTCAGACCTTGAGGTGCCCTTTGATACCTCAAGGAGACGAGATGCTTCAGAGTATTATTTCGTGAAACGTTGCATAGAATATTGTATAATTTGCATTCTATATGATACCAGATATGCCTTTCAGCCGAATAACGTTCGGTCGTTTTTAGTGATTAATGTTCTGTTGCAATTATTCTATAGTGTTTGAAGCCTTCCAGCGATGGATGCAGTCGCAGACACAAGCAGCTATTCAAATCCACCCGCCAATTGGTAAAGCTTAAATATTCGGTTAAAATAGAGAACATCAATTGATTTTCAAACCTGAAAATATTTGACATGTGTTTTATCAAGGTTCATAAATCGGATAATTAAGATTTATCCTCATTTACATAAACTTTGATTTTCTTGGCTTATAGACAATGTTTATTCTTTTTAAAATGACTTTGCCAATGAACTTATATAGTAAGATGGGTCGTGTTTTACATATGTTAAAACATTTGCATCCGAGCTTTATCTGATATGCAATTCTCACCTTCGGATAGAGTTAGTATATCACATAAAGATCGGCTGCTTACGTTTTAACTATAGTACTATATAAACAAATGGCAATTTTTTGTTTTTTGAAAGACATAGAAAATAGTATTAAGCTGCATATGGCATCAAACAAAAGAATCGTCACAAAACTTAAAGTATAAACATCACGCATTATTAAATATATTATGGTATATGCGCATTCAGAAAAAGCTGTTCAAACGACTCACCAGGCACAAAAAAACGACATAAATTACGTTTTTCTTAATTTTTTATAATTTTTTTTTAATTAACAAAATAAATTACATTTTGTTAATTGTAACATGAATTTTGGGACACATATTTGCTTATTTCGGTAAGGCCAAAAAAAATAAATAGTTGGTTTCAGGTTTCACAGACATGTTTTATATGGGTAGGTAGGTCAGAAAAACATTTTATTTTAAAAAAATATTTTCTCTCAAGTATGCAATAAATATAAGTTAATTTAAAACTCATCATAAACTCTTAGTTTTTATTGTTTTTAAATATATATATATATATATAATTTGACAATGATGCAAGGAAACAAACAACAACGAAATATTTAATACCATTAACAATGTCAATGTTCAGTCTATTAAAACGTAACTACTTCGTGCCATATGGCCTCGCGGTTATGGGCAGTAGTCCATTTTTTGTGCAATCTGCACACATAGGCAAAACTGTCTTGAATTTTTCCTTTAAAGCATTGTTTTGGGTTGCACCCATTCCACCACAATGGCAACAAATATCAGCCCTGCCAAGCTTGGAACTGTAGTATGCCAACTCAACAGGATCACCGCAATTTACTGACAGCTTCACATCCACACTTTTGTGCACGGGGTTATCTGGTGGCAGGATATGCCCACCGCATGTATATTCTTCCAATCCAGTGAGAATGGTTATCTGCTGTCGTTCAGATAATCTGTTTTTACTAAAGACCACTCTTGGTTCCCCACACTCTGCACAATCAACTGTCATTCTTGCATGCTGAGCTGTAAAATTTGAAGGGTTTTTTCGTTGTTCCTCCTAATGAAAGGAAAAGTAGATACAGTACATCTCAATTAATTTACGCTATTGTGATATAACCGTTCAATGCCTTAATTTATAGCTACATGAGTATAATATACAAACATACACTGTACTGTACCTGATCATCAATCAAAAAGTAATCTACTTGTCTTGCTCGATCATCCTTTGTTCGGGGAAATCGCTTTGCAGATGGTCTATTCAAGTCTGTGGTGTCGGTGTCAATCACAGCTTCCAGTTGAAGATAATGATCTCCTTCTTTGTTGATGACTGGATCTGGCAACCATCTTAAGTCCTCTGCAAGCTTTGCTGAACAGCAATTAATGACATCACATTTGCGAATCTAGAAAATTGATTATCTGATTTCATCAGAATTCACTTAAAATTATATATATAAAGTTATGTTTTTAATAATACCTGGAAGACATATTGTCTTGTACGGCAGTGTTTTCCCATCCATGCACTCAGGGTTTGGTT